GGTTATCGAGAATTTCAACTCCCATCACTTGCCGATTGTTATGGATTTCCTGGGGAGGATTTTCGGCTGGTTGGTCCTTGTCTTTTTGTGGCCTCGTGACTGAAGTGAGGTAACAATGTCTGGCTACTTCCTGATTGCTTCTAAGAGTTGCTATGCCTATCGGGGTTGGAAATTTCATACAAAGATGAGATTAAGATACCACAGCTCGGATCTCTGTTAATGTGGGCCTGCCAATGACAACATTGAAGGAGGAAGGCATCGTGACCACCAGAAACCGAATGGAAGGAGTCACTTAGGTTCGGCCGCTTCCAAATGCAACGTTCATGGTTAAGACCCCTTCAACTAGAACTGGTTGGTTGTTGAAGCCATATATGGGACCATCATAACGCTGTAGTAGAGCTGGGTCGAGCCCTAAGCTCTCAAAGCAGTCGTAGTACATGATGTCAGGTGCGCTACCAGTGTCAACAAGTACACGTTGGGCTTGACAATTGTTGATCATTATAGAGATGACCACAGGATAATTGTGAGGTGTTAGCACCCCTTCAAAATCAGCAGGTGTAAAAGTCATCGGCTGTTCTTTCCAGTCAGCATCATCAATTTTCCTCTTCTGAGCTCGATTCTGGTGCTTGACCTCTTTAACATACAACTTCCTTTGCTTGGAGCTCATCCCCCCTGCTTCCAATCCTCCTATAATCATGTGTATAATTTTGGCTGGTGGTGGGAGAGGAGGTGGGGCTTGTTGATATCCCACTCCTTACCTGTTTGGTGGATTACGGGGTCCTTGAGGCTGTTGTCCCTGTTCTCTGACAAATCTTGGCTGTTCGGCTCTCTGGATGTACTCATTCAACATTCCTTTCTAAGCTAGGCTTTCCAGCTCGGACCTCAGACTATTGCATTGCTCTGTTGTATAACCGTGATCTTGATGAAAATCACAATATCTGGTATGGTCTCGGCTAGTAGCAACAGTTCTCATTGGACCGGGACGCCTTAAGTTCATTTTGTTCTTAATCTGCATGAAGATTTGTGACCTCGGAAAATTAAAAGAAGTCCAATTAATTGGAGGCTTACCTTCAGACTGTTGTGGGGGTGTAAAGTTCGGCCTTTCGAATCTCGGTGCGGAGGTCGACATCGGATCTCGGTTCTGTGCTATCCTCATCCGTTTCCTGCTTGGATTCTCATCTCTCCAGTCTGGGTTTTGGTTCTTAGAGGGGGCTGGTTTCTGCAACAAGGCATATTCCTCAACAGTTATGAATTTCAATGATCTATCATTTACCTCGTTGAAGATGGTGGCAGGATGTTTAAGCAAACTATCTCTGAATCTCTCATGGCTAAGACCTGAGATCACGGTTGTAATTCCCACAGCTTGGTCGAAATAGCTAACCTTCAGTATTGCATCATTGAATCTGCTCATAAAATTCTTCAAAGACTCTCTATCCTTCTGCTTAACTCGCATCAGCTCAAAAGTGGTTTTCCTGATCAACCTTCTACTGGAAAACTTGGTGGCAAAAGCAGATGCCATTTCTGTATAAGAGCTGATTGACCTCGGAGGTAGACTGTAATACCAGGTTCGAGCATTACCTCGGAGAGTAGATGGAAAGATTTTGCACATCAACGCATCAGAGGCGTTCTTGGCTTGCATGTAAGAGTAGAAAGCATGCAGGTGATCATTGGGATCCTTCATCCCATCATAAGTCTCAAGTTGAGGTATTCTAAAGCCAGCAGGGTAGGGTTCTAATGTGATGTTGGTGTTCAGAGGATGAGGTATAAAGTCTGCAGCATGACGTGGAGGTGGGGCGCCCCTCAACTCAACTACTAGCTTTTCTAGGCTGTCTAGACGTCGAGTGACATCATCAAGGAGGGGTTGCTGAGCTAGTGTGATGTGAGATTGGCCCTGAGATTCACTAAGAGCAGGAACATGCTAAACTGGTTCAAGGTTTTGTTGTGGGGTCGAGGGTTGTGGAGCAGAATTAAGTAGGTTGATGAGTGGATCACCAGGATTGTTCCGGGCTAATAGTTGAGCCAGCACTAGTTGAAAGACGCCAAACTGTTGTTGCATGGTAGTGAGCTGAGCTGTAACCACATCTTGGTTGGCAGTAGAAGCTGAGTTATGAGCTGAATTGTGTGGTTGATTTTCATCTCCTCCTTCTGCATGATTGACATGAGGGAATGTTTTCGAGATTGTAGGTGGGAGGTGAGGTGGAAGGTTACTGGGGACCTGACCTCGTCAAAGGGGCTGAGATGAGTTTCCAGCTCGGACTGATCGAGTGTTAACCATGATGAGAGAGCAACGAGGGAGCTTTCAGTTCGGATTCCCACAGACGGCGCCAATGTAGTTGCACCAAACCAAAAGTCCTTCTTCAATCCGTATTTGCACTCCAGATTGACCTGCAAAGCCCCGAGGTGAGTCCTCGGGGTAGACACTCCGATGCTTAAGTCAGCAATAATCAAGGCTACCTTTCGAGCGAAGATAAAAAAAGCTTAGGGTTGGTTTCAATTACCTTTTGACGTGGCCCGTGGGAGGTATTTATAGGATCCAATGAGGAACCCATGTGGCATCTCAAGCAAGATAATCGGAGCCTGACGTGTCTATCCAGACGATTATTCCGGGACCGAGAATTTGAGAGGTATTCAGATGCAAGGATGTCCGCCATAGCTGCTGTGCAGCTCATCATAAGGAATCAGGTGTGGGCATGCTTATTGTCGCTGTCATGCAGCTATTTGAGCGGGAAACTTTGGATTTATCCTTCACTTCGGTCATAAAGGATTTACTATAGCAGTTCGAGACTTGGCACCTCGAACCTATCCTTACAGCTTCTTAAAGGAACTTCTCAATTTTACCTTATTTTATAGTTTCATCAAGCAATATCTGTTACTCTAAACCAAAAATAAAGGGAATGATTATTGCCACACATATGAATTTAAGGTCACATAAATATTATGATTGTATTTGGTTTGATTGTTTAAATTTGATAATTAATAGAATAGTTGATATTAATTTGTTACTTAATAATTTAAAATTATATTTCCAAATACCCTAACTAGTTATAGACCGATAAAATTAGATCAATCAAACACAGTCAAAGTATATATATGTGTGGCCTTAACATTTATCCATGTGGCAATATAACCATGACCTTAAAAACTTAGAATCGTCCAAAAGTAATGTGACAATCAAAGGGTGTAAATTTTCCACATAAATAAAAGGAAATAAGATAAAGATAGGTACACCCTTTAATTCAATAAATATATTTTTTTTTTGTACTACTCTCTTAGTATCCAAAAGCCATATTGAACCCTGACTAATTTGAAGTCGAGTAGCGTCGAACCCCATATGGAGGAGCTCTCGTTGTACCTGTTTTTCCATTTACAAGATTCAAACTCGAGATCTTGTTTAATGGGAATCGAACTCATTCTACTCAGGCCAAAAGGTCGTTGGTATTAATTCAATAAATATTACAATACACTGATTAAAAAATTATTATTTTTAAATTTGAATTCAAGATGAGAAAAATTTCAATTATAGAATTTAATGCCCAAACCAATAAGTGTTGACAAGTATATTGAATTGAATGGTGTTCCAAGCATTTTTCAAAGAAGTAACTAGTTAGTAGACTAGTTAAATTCGTTCGAAGCAATTAGAGGAAGTATCATCAGATAATTAACTTCAAAACAGGCTTCTACAATGATTTCTAGTCAGCCTGACTGCTGAAATCGGTGTGCATCGAATAAACCATTCATCTTTAAGCATTATAGGAGTTAATTTGTAGGTGTTGGAGAGATACATAGAATATTTCTCTACTATGGTATTTATTCTCAAAATGACAATTAAACAGGTATAGGAGAGCTGCATAAACAGTAGAGTAATGAACAGTATTACTTTCATTATAATTAATTAGGCTAACAATAATCTTAAAGAAAATGATCCTGACATGTGCCAGGCATAATTCAAATCAAGCAAAGTTTTACATGATTCCTTAATTCCATTAGAACTTGGATTGAAGATACTGAACTACATTCTTGTCCAACATGAAGGCCTTTGTGAGGATATAAGGATTTATGGGTGGGTTTGAGCCAAAAACAGCGTTCGCAATGGTGATGATTCCTGGATTTTGGCTACTTAGAGCAGCAAGGGCAACAGCAGGAGTGTTTCCCACATTGAGTTGAAAATGAATGAGACCAGCTGGGAAGACGAAAGCCTCTCCCGGATTCAGGACTTTGGCGAAGAGACGATTACCATCTTGGTCGGATGTGACAAATCCAACCAGGATTGTGCCCTCTAGGACTACTAGGATCTCAGAGCCCCGAGGATGAGTGTGGGGAGGGTTTAAACCACCATTTGGTGCAAAGTCAATACGAACTATGGATACACCGAGGGTGTTAAGTCCTGGAAGTTGGTCAGCAAATACAAGGGTGACAGCTGATCCTGGTGGATCCATTGTGTTTCCTGCCTGGTTGAGTCCAGAAAAGAAGAAGTCGTTTTCTGTGACCGCCATTGGATTCTTGCAGAACTTCCCATTTACGAAGACTGCAGAAAGGAGATAAATAAAACATTGATTCACTAATCAGCTTAATATTTCCAATGAAGAAAAATTAACAGTGTAAAAAAGTGCAAGTGGAATCCTTACCTCCATCTGTGATGTTATTGATGGCTACACAGAAGTCCTGGAGAGGGCTGGGATCATACGCTGAGGCTAATGTAGAAGCTAAAGCCATGAGTGTAATAACTCGAAGGAAATTCTGAAATCCTTTCATTGTTGTACAGCTATGCGTATCTAATTTCTATGTTTGAGTTACCGTACGTAGTTGCTTTGAGACTTCTTTGAAAATTTGCTTGGCAGACAGGTGTATTTATAGAGGAGAGCCAACGACCCAGTCGTTATTTTGCCATTGTTGCCACAGATGAAATCTTGCATTGCCAGGAATCAGTCTACAAAAAACACTTTAGTTGTTATCCTTAGTTATTTTCAGCATCCCTTATATATATGCATCATTGCAGTGTTTCAGCTTTTGAAGCAGTCAAATTTCAAATACAATTTCTTCCATTTACATCCTTTTAACTTGGAATTAAGCTTCTTTTAATCAGGTAAAATCTATGCCTCAACTTTTTTAGAATTTTTCTTTTTAATCAATCAATTGTGTAGCACGCAGGCCGACTGCAAAATCTATGTCTTTCATATTATAAAAAATCAAATTGACCGAACAGCTATTTTTTCCTTAGTTGCAAACTACATATGTATGATCTGAATATTTTTATTATTTTTTTATGTTGATGAAGTCTGTTATGGCATGTTAGGATATCAATGTTTTACCTCTTCAAAACTTTCCCTTCCTGGTTGATTAACTATGCCTTTAACTTAAACATCAGCTTAAAGCTTGTATTTGCGTGGGAACTTAATGTTGAAAGAGAAGTTTAAAACTAAGATCAAATGGTATTATCAATTTTTTTTCCTTTGGTACACGTAAATAACATTATCAATTAGGATGCTGATCAGGCTAGCTCTTCTAAAGTGCAGAAGAACATGGTGCTTAAAATAACCATTTGTAGAACTGGGTAATGACATATTGTTAGGTGTTTGTAGGCCACATTATTGTATATATTAGAAGAGTTAGAATATATTTATACAAAAATCTTATATATTACAGTTACATCAAATCTTGATCATTCATTTTCACACATTCAATGATTGAGATTCATACATTTTTATTAAAGATAATCATCATTTTTATTTAAAAAATTATAATAAATCTCAATAATTGAAAGTAGAAAAATGAATGGTTAAAATTTTATATAAATTTGGTATATAAGACTCGTGTATAAATGTATTTCTAAAGCTAATTATTTTTAATAAATGATAATAAATTTCAACCACTAAAATTTAAAAAATGAATCCTTGAGATTTTGCATAAATGTGTTACATAAAACGTAAATAGATATCTTCTCTAAAAGTATATAGTATATTTCTAATAATTATTAGATATACTATATATTATATTCCATACATCTATATATAATTAGTAGGGATTCACGTACATTTAAGTCAAATCCTGTTGGAAAGAACCATTAAAATCAAGATGCAATCTTTGTCTGGTTCTTTGTAATGTATGTGAACAACTTTTTTTATATCAGGAGGTGTTATAACTGTAGCAATTTAAATTATGGCCTGCTAACTATTATAAAATACGTTTAAGCTATATTGTGCTGCATGTGAATTCGCCTTGGTTACTGATGTCTCGCTGACATATTATGACATTTTTTTTTGTCCTTACATTTTGACAATTTCCGTTTTGATTTTGGCAAATTTAAAGGCCGGTGCCGGCTGTTTTAATTTGAAATAGAATATGCTAGATGAGCTCTTCCCCAGGAAGTTTTTCTATTTTTGATCCGCAACTCTTCCCAGGAAGGCAGGAAATTCTTACGAACACATTTTAAAAACTTCCTAAATTAATAGATTCTCCATGTTCCATTCTATGTAAGTTCTTCAAAGACGATATGTTGAAAAGGCATGCGGGAAAATAGCCAGTATTTTTTTTTTTTTTAATGTTCGGAAAATAACCAGTTGACATTGTTATCGTGACCAATACTCGTTAAGATAATGTAAGAGAAGACTTTCTTCTGATACCATACTACTAATTTCAACTTCTTTTTGCTGCAAAGGCAACAGTCTTTGGTATAATCCAAGGGTTCTTTAGCGTTTCTGCACTTAAATCATTTACTTCTATAAATTATATATTATCTTCACTGATGTTTAAAGAGTTAATGTATAAAGAAAAATTGTTTGGTTTGGATGAATATTGTTTGGTGAAACTATAAATACAAAGAAAAATTGTGAATTATGTATTTTATTTAAGGAATGTGGCAAATCATCTTATCTCCTAAAAATTAAAAGGGAAGTTATATCAAAATTATATTTTATTAATAAATTCAAATTAAAAAAAGGCTAAGATAATATATTTTAAAAGTATGAATTAACTATATTTGGTCTTTTCTAATGAAATTTTATTAAAATGATATACTTTTCAAATAAGGAAATAATTAATATACTCTCTGATTTGATACACTTTTCGACACTTGTTTAGTTTAATTATTAAAATATATTATAAATACAATAAATTTAACCAATTCTTATATACTCTATGCATAAATATTTGCATTTTTAAATTTATTTACTTTTAATTTTTGATAAAAAAACATAATAATTTTTTATATAATATATTATGCAATATATTGAATCAGAAGATATATCAATCAATGTCTTTTGAGGTAATTTTTCTCTGCAAAATTTTTATGAAGTAGAGTAGGTGAGCACTAATGTCAATTCATTTTTTGTTGGCCGAGATATGTGTTCCTTAGTTTTAATTTTAGTTAAACTAAGATGAGCACTAATTTCAATTCATTTTTTGATTCTTAAAGGAACTTCTCAATTTTACCTTATTTTATAGTTTCATCAAGCAATATATGTTACTCTAAACCAAAAATAAAGGGAATGATTATTGCCACACATATGAATTTAAGGTCACATAAATATTATGATTGTATTTGGTTTGATTGTTT